ATCTTACGAGTAGGTTACAAAAAAATGTTATTAAGGCCATGGATATTTATATTGGTGAATGTGTTGGTAAGCTTTTAAGCTTTTAATAACAATATTAGATATATAATTTCTCGGAGATTTAAAGAAATATTTATTTTATAGAGCCGAAGGTTATTGAGAACCCATATGAACTTTTATCTCATATTATTTCATTTCCGATCGCTAACATTGTTGTTGGTGAAGTACGTATTATATTTATATTTATATTTATATTTATATATATATATTCTCAGCTATTAACTTAAAGTAATTACTTTTATAATAAAAAAAATCAGGAATGTTATTATAATGAGGATATTTTGGAAGCTTTTAGGGACTTGACATCTGCGGTTTTTAAACTCTTTATAGTACCACCAATATTATCTTTTATACATCCATGGCTTCATCAACAATTTGTCACGTAAGTTTTTAAAACTTCATTATGAACTTTTATAAATTATTAATTTACGTAAATCATTATTTTTTAATAGAATGCCTTTAAGGTTTGGTTGGAATCCTGCTTCTAAACATTTTGATGTAATTATAAAACGTATTAGACCAGTCGTTGAAAAACGTCTTAATGATAAAAAGAGATTAGGTGATGCTTGGGTTGCACCCGTAAGTTTTTTTATATTCATAAAACTATTATCCTATGATTATTTAATTTATTAATATACTCTAATATAATTTTAATCATATCTAAATATATATATATATATATAGTTAGATGCATTACAATATTACTTAAACGATCCTGATATAACACCAGATCTCGATCCAAATCATGTAGATTATGTACATATTGCTAATGCAATTGGTTCATTTATTATTGCTGCTATGGGAACTACTACTAGTTCTGGTGCCCGCGCTTTATACGGTTAGTTGTAATCTATATATATATTATATATTTATTATCATTAAGTTTTTCTATTTATTTTAATAAATCAATTATTTATATGTATATATTGAAAATTAGATTTGGCTACTAGGAAAGAATATTGGCAAGAATTATATCAGGAAGCTCAAGAAATTAATAAGCAATGTAATGGCAATGAACTTACTATTGATGATATTGCTAAAATGGTGAAATTGTATAGTTTCGTTAAAGAATCTTTAAGATTTACCAGTAGAGTAGTTGCCTTACCGCATAAATGTGTTACTAAATCACATTATACCTTTGAGAATGGATATCAAATCCGAAATGGTAATTTTTTTTTCAAATCGTTTATTAAATTCTTTTAAATCATAATAAATTTTCACACCTTTTCATAATATAACTTAAAATCACAGGTACTGTAGTTATGGTCAACATGCTTGACACAGCTTATGATGAAGAACTTCAAGGTCAAAATCCTACTGAATTCAAGGCATACCGCCATCTTGACCGTAATTCTCCTGCGACAAAACTCGAACGTAACTTTATAATATTTGGAGGTGGAAAGCATGCGTGCCCGGGTAGATCTTTAGCTGTTAATGAGGTTAAAGTATTTTTACATAAAGTTATGTTAAAATATAATGTCAGTATTGAAAATGAAAAAGTGATGAAAAAATATCTTGGTCCTATTCCTAGAATGTTTAAAGCTAGTTTTGTGTTTGAAAATAGAAAGGATGTTGTAGTAAATTAAAACTTACGGCATTATGGTATGTTATAAATATTGAAAAATACTATATTGAACTTTGCATTTTTTATTTATTTATTTATTTATTTATTTAGGAGTTTATTATCTGAAATAAATACATTTTCTATTTTAATTTTTAATTTATTCTTTATTTTTTAATGTAAATTTATTAAAATTATA